TATTTTGTTTTTTTATGTTCCCCTTTTCCCCCCTTGAATTGTTCGCCGCCCTGAGTCCTCCCGGAGAAGGGCGGCATACAAATAATAAAATACAATACAAATACATCATATAAAAATCTGTACTGTAGGAGCCTTAAGCAATTACGGTATAAAGCAAATGTTATACCTTGGCTTTTGTAGAGTGTGCAAATGTTCAGTATCAATTACATAGTGGTCTGAAGAATTTATCTCAAGTGCTTTACCAGTTGGCGGGACTATTTAGAAATTTATATTGCAAATGTCAGACTATTCACTTTAATTTTCTTACTAGCTAGTACGTTTAAATATTTTTAAAAAATCATCCAATTGAAAATTTGCTATAAAGAAAAGGGTTGTACTGATTCTTCTTCATATCATTTTAATGTACAGAGAGAGGGTTGAGGGAGTGGGATAATAGACTGGAGGCCACCTTTGTCACTTTTTAACAAAAGTGGTGAAGCAAGCAGATGGCAGTTTCTACTTGCATTGTCAAGTGAGTTTTTCTTTACCTTTATTGATGTAATGTGGTATGTATTTCTATATTTAGTTTAATCTTACAGTATTGCACTTCCATTAGAAGCTGGCTTGGATTCTTCCCTCAAGTGAACTCTGATTCGGCAAGTCTTTAAGTCATTAGCTGTTCCGATGTCAGCAATATATAAAAGCTGAAGCCTGAATCTGTTTTCAAATACTTCTGACTTTTGCTTTGCTTCACAGGGACCTATTGGATGAGTATCCAGATATATTTTCAGAACCAATACTTGGTCCCTCTCTGAAGTTCTGTGGACAACCAGCTCGTTGGATCAATACTTCTCATGCGGTAGAGTTGTAAAGACTGCTCAAAATAAAGATTCCCATGTCTTTTACTTTTACTTTTGGGTAGGATGAGTAATTTGGCCAAATCATTTTTTCTAATATCAAACAAATATCACCAATCTCACTATCCAAAGCAATAGCAATAAGGCTTAGAATTTATTAAAATTATATGTTGCCTATCTCATTATCCAAAGCAATAGCAGTAAGCAATAGCACTTAGACTTATATACTCCCATATAGTGTTGTACAGCATTCTATAAATGGTTTACAGAGTCAGCATATTTTTCCCAACAATCTGGGTTGTCATTTTACCGACCTCAAAAGGATGGAAGGCTGAGTCAACCTTGAGCGGTGAGAATATTTTAATAAGGTAATTGCTCAGTAGATTTGAATAGTTTTCACAGTGTTTCACAGTAGAATGAAAAAAATGGGTAGCGTATAGTTTGTTGAATTCACATTCAGCAGAAGCAGAGGTCCATATAATGATGATCTATTATTAACATCCATATAATAATTAATTAAGTAATATAATAAAACACTTCAATGAATAAAAGCCAACATTTACTTTTAGCTCTTTGTTTGGCAAAGCCAAGAAAAAAAGTAAATATCCTGGCAGTTTGTTTTCTTTTATTCCAATAGGGTGAAGTTGGCATTGCAGCCAGGGTCACCTTTGAAATTCTTGTAGGTGATAAAGCTGAATCTCGCCTTACAGTGAGCAATGATGGCACAACAGCCATCTGGTATGACTGGCGGAGGCTCCCTCCACCTTTTACTTTTCAGGAGAAAAAAAAAAGAGGAATACAGAATTTTTACTTTAATACTAGATCAGGTGAGTGATCTGTTCGTTATTTTTTAAAGTCGTTTCATTCATTCATTCATTCATTCATTCATTCATTCATTTATTCATTTATACACCACCCATCTCACTCTGCAAGCAACTCTGGGCAGTTTACAATTAAAATCATAAATATTAGCAATAGTAAATAGAAAACTAAAAAAAAATGAATTTGAATTTACTTTATTTGTATGCCGCCCTTTTCCCTGAAAGGGACTCAGGGCGGCTCACAATTCAAGGGAGGGGGAAACAAACAAAGTTACAAAATATAAAGACAAACAAGAATGAAAAACAAGAATGGAATGGTGGTGGCATCTTCCCTATTCATCCACCAGGCACCTCCAGCATCAAATCCCCAACTAGACCCCAAACCAATTGACAGAGTCAGATTTTAACAATCTTCCAGAAGGCCAAAATATTGCAGGCTCAGGTAGCAAGATGTTCCAAAGAGAGTGGACCATAGCAGAAAAGGCAGTGTTCCTAAACGCCAAAACAGTTTGATTGACAGTGTCTATAGTATGCCCCTTCTGCTGGATTGAGTGGGATGGGCCAGTCCTATTGGGGCAAGACAGTTCCTCAGATATCCCAGTCTCAGGCCATAAAGGGCTTTAAAGGTCAAGCAACTTGGAAGCAAACTAGCAACTGTGCAGTTCATGCAACAGCAGTGTTAGGTGTACTATTCTAGGGGCAGCCAAAACTGTCTATGCTGGTAATGGGAGATACATACATACATACATATATACATATGAAGAGAAATCTTATATGATTAAATTTTATACAATAGATCAAATCAACCATGCCAATTACAACATACCTTACAAAGAGATCTCAACAAGTTCTTCAAGAGATGCTGAAAGAATTGGATTGGCTCTTTCTCTCTGATATCCTAATTCTGACAAAACAATGTCAAAAGAACCATCCCTAGGAGTAACTGAATTATCTTCCTTTGTCTCAATCAAATATTTATGTGAAAAGTCTTGGGTTCTCTGAATTTTTGCATGTTTGTGACTTTAAATGTTATTAAACCTTGATGTGCATCCTCTTGTGTTCCCAATTGACAGTGAACAAACAATCCCAAAGTTCAGTGCTTGTTCCATTTATTTCATAAACAATATAATACAATGTGATATGCCAGGGTGAAAAAACCCATTACCTTAAATAGCATTCCCAATAAAAAGTAAGTTGTTTAGCTTAAAGTTGGGACTCCCAAGCAGAATTGTCTATTTTTCTTTGTATTATTATCAAAGCTTTTAGAAGTACAAAAAGCTATGCAGTACAGTATGTGATTATTAAAATGTATATAATTTTGATGGATTTTAATATTTTTATCTTACAAACTCATTGCTTTCATTGTTTGGTTTTAACATTGTGAGGTGTTATACAAAAAAGGTGCAAGAGAGAGCTGATAATATCTTTACTGGAAAGCAATGAATTGTCTATTTTTCATTCATTTTTATAGTTCCAATTTGTTTACTGCAACGATAGCCTAAAAGATGTTGATGAATTTGAATGCTCTATTTTACTTTTTATGTCAAAGATCCATCATCTGCTTATGCAAAAATTAATCCAAATGAAATAAGGCCATAATATTCTGCATTAATTTCTTTAGATAGTAGCAATCTAATTTTGCAAACTCATTTCTTATCATAAAACAATTTAACTTATGAGGTTTCTGTTAGCTAATCTAAGTTCTTTTTTAAACATTTTGAGGATACTTGAATCCTGGGCTTATTATGTTTAGGATATAAAACCTTAAAACCTGGCTTTTAAAGGAATTCCTGAGAGAAAAATACAATATAACATTGAATTCTCATCTTGAATTATGCTTGGGTTCATTGTTCTTGATGGCCTTATTATTTTTCTTAGTAGCTTTTGTTATTATTAATATGTATTATTGATTTTTCTTTTATTATATTATTTTTGTATTTTCATTATTTTTTATGATGGGTGGAAAGATTGGGAATGTCAATACAATGAACAAAATCAGGTGTCCTGCCAAAGAAAGTGATACTCTTTCCTTCCCACTATGTGCTTTCTGTTTCCATAGGGGTTATCCTACCTGGAGAAACCATACATTTTTCCTTCATCTTTAAATCATTGAGTGCAGGCATTTTCAATGAGTCCTGGGAATTTAGTACTCATCCTGAGTTATTAGGAGGAGCTATGCTACAAGTGACTCTTTGGGGAATTGCACTCTATGAAGATACTACAGTTAAACTCAGGGAGGATCTGGAGGTAACCAAACCTATTTTCATGAGATACATGGTAAAGGAAGTTCACTTTGCTCTAAGATCACATTGCTTCTAAGATTGGATGTTGTGGAAGATGAGTAGATTTACACTGCAACTAATATTTAATTGGATGCACAAAAATTAACTTTCCAATCAGGTTTTCTGTAGAGGGCTATGTGGAAGTATTACTAAATTATGATTCTGTATGTTAGTACAAATCCTAGTTTCTGAACATCCAAAGTGGTAACTTCCTTGAGTTCAAATTACAACTGCTATAAAGCCTGGTACAATGCAATTTGTGATGGGGCAAAATTAATGAATTAACCAAGTTTTCTATTTTAGTGTGTCATGTGAACATGTCCTAAATTTTATACATAGACAGGCAGTGTTCACATGACACATTAAGCTAGAAACTCTTTATTGTTATTTTGCTTGAAATTCCAGAAAGAGTTAGAGGCTCGAGAAATTGCTGTTATAATAGAAGAAAATCTAGAAGAGTTACTTAATCGGATTCGAACACCCACACGAGTAAGATCCCCAGTTGATGCCTACGTCACTGAAGAAGAATTATTTCACAGAAAGAATCCAGAGGTATAGTTTGTCCTTTATAGGGAATGTGGGATGGGGATGTGGACAGAGAATAAATAATAAGGATTGATACCAGTCAGAGCATTGGGAACCAGTAAGGGAACAACCTTAGCTTCTTTTTTAAAATTAATCTTTACATAAATAAAAGATAAATACAAAAATATATAAAGAAAAGAATGAAAAAAGAAAAAGTGCAGAAAAGAATACAGTTAAAAGTGGGAAACAAATGACTTTCACCCTTTATAGCAGTTACAAACTTACTCTCTTCCTCTTTAACATTATAATTATATCCCTTCAGCTCCATGTTCAATCTTTTTTCAATAATCAAATCCATAAATCATTTCATTTTTTTCCATTCTCAGCTAAAAGTTCATAAAAGGTTTCCAGTCTTTTAAAAAAGTATTTATTATCTTGTCCTTGATAAACCAGGTGAACTTTGCCATCCCGCTACTTCTGCCATCAATCTATTCTTCCATTGTGGGTACTTCAGTATTTCTCCATCTTTGTGCATAAGTTAATCTTTTCTAATTGACTATTCCTAAGTTCCAAAAAAGAGTTCTAGTTTCATTTCAATATTAATATTAACCTCTCCCCTCCCCCTTTCTTTCTCTTTTTCACAAGTCCACTGGCATAGTATAAGGTTCCTTCATGTTTTTTGCATTTCTATTATTGACTAGAACTATTTTTATACATCTCTGATAATTTCTTTGATGTCAAAGAAAATCTCTTAAAATTTAGTTCTTAAATTATAACACAATCTGAATGTCAGTTTCTTTATCCATATTCTCGCCCGTCTATATATTATACATGTAGTCCTTCATTAACAATGGTAATTGGACTGGAATTTATGTTGCTATGTGATGCAGTCGTATATGTGATGATATCACATAACCACATTGCTTAGTACCACAATCCCAGCAATCGCCCTTGCCATTATTAACTAAATTCCACCTCGCCTTCTTAGGGAAGGATCCACTCCTCCCCAAGCTAAATCATACTTGGCTTGGTCCAGCCATCCCAGCCCCAAGCTTGGTAAGATCGCCTCCTCTACCTCTTCTTGAATTCCCTCCACCTGCTTGTCTCTTGCTCATCTCTGCCTTTTTGGCTGCCCACATACCCCCGATTCCTGCCATGGGCCTTATTTTGTACTGACTTCTTTCACACTGGTGCTGCTATGGCTTCTCTTGTTGGCTGCCGAGCGTCTCTTTTTTAAACATGCCAACCAGTTTACTGGGGTTTTGACTATTGCTGCCATCTGCAAATTTCAGTTTCAAATTTGAGCAAAAAAAATGTACATCTTTTTTGCAATGAAATATTTATCATAGATACACTGTTGATTTCCTATTTTTGTCTTATATTATTCAGTCTCCATTACTGTGCATATGAAACCACTGAAAATTAAATCCCTCTGCAGTTAATTTCTTGACTTCATCTTGAGCTGTCCATCTTCCTGTATTAATAAGTCTTGGTATGTTAATGGTTTCTCTTTGTCTGCTATTTCTTTTCTATAAAATGCTTCCTGTGCTGAGACCAGTAAAAGTATTTTGGGCCCAAACTGGGTTTATATTTATTCCACATTTTTAATATGAAACTTCTCATATAATATTATATTCTTCTAATTCTAGCATTTTATTTCTCAGCAAAGCTCAGTCTTTCATTCAAATCAAATAGCAGACTGCAGAATAAGTTTAAAATCAGGCAATCTAGTCCTCTTCTTTTTTCTGCATCTTAAAGAATTTTATATTTAATACTTGGTTTTTCATCTTGGGAGTCCCAACTTTAAGCTAAACAACTTACTTTGCCCGGTGGGGTGGTGGCGGCGGCAGCGGCTGCTTTAAGCGCTCCCTTGTCTCGCAGCCGAGGCTGCTCCGGGCCACCGGCCGCTGGCACGCGCTCCTGTGAGAGCCTCTGCGTAGTGCCGGGAGGCTGCGGAGAAGCTTTGCTTCGTTTCTCGCTCAGCCTTCCCCCAGAGGCAATCCGGGACTTCCAGCGGCAGAGCTTGGAGAAGCAGCGGACGCAGGCCAGGGCAGCGGGGGAGGGCGGCGGCGGGGCACTTTGCATCGCGGGAGCCGCCAAGCGCCTTTGCTGCAGACCCGGGCGCTTGCTTGCTCCCGCGATGCGAATCCCCCACCCCGCCGAGGCCAACCGCTGCCCTGCTGAGCTGCTTCGCAAAAGGATGCCCAGCTGAGCCTCACCAGGTATAAACCTCACCGCACGTCACTGTTACATACTAACCACTAACTTTCTATGAGCATTTTCAATGCCTTAAAATTGTCTTCACCTGTTTCCCCAACTTTAGTTGGTATTGTACCAAAAGGCACAAATTCACCTATTTGCTAATTTTTTCTGCCATTTATGCATATCTTTGATAAATTAACTTTCAGATGCAAAATGTTTTAATATTTTTCCTGCATATTGACAACAAAACATTTCTGACTTACAAAGTACATAAAAAGTGTGCCTTTTACTCTGGGTGGAAAAGGTAAAAAAAAAAAGGGCAATGATAAAAGACATTTCTAAATGATGGATGGTAAAAAGGAAGTAATATTTATTTTAGAATTCTATCATAGTTATTTTTAAAAAAGTCTATTCGTATTCCTGGACCTTGAAGAGTGGATACAGGAGCCTCCTTGGCCAGCACCACCGCCGCTGCTGCTGTCCCGGGCGCGGCCCCTTCTTCTTCTTCCACCTCGGCTTTTCAGACAATGCCGCCGCGGGGCCTTCTCCAGCCACCGTGGCCTCGGCTCCCCGTGCAGCTTTGCCCGCTGCTCTGGGTGTTGCAGCGGCGGCAGCTAGCAACAAGAGCAACAGGAAGAAACGGGAAAACAGGGCCAGCACTTTCGGCTTCAAGTGCACGCTGCTGCTGGGCCCCATCGGGGAAAGCGGCGGGCCGGCTTTGGGGAACGGGCCTTCGGGGAGGCCTCCGGGCGCGCCAGAGGAGCCAGCCTACACCGGCACGCCGTGAAAGAAGACAAATTACAGCCCAGGCGTGATGGGACAGGAAAAGGAATGAATTAGATGGAGTGGAGACTGGAGGCGCTGACGCTGGAGCTGGAGAAGGAGCTGGAGCTGCACGTGCGCAAGGAGTATTTTGGTATTTGTATCGAGTGTGGAAAGGGGGTATATGGGGCCAGCCAAGCNTATGCTGACTCTCTGTAAACCGCTTAGAGAGGCCTGAAAGGCCTATGAAGCGGTATATAAGTCTACTGCTATTGCTATTGCTATTGCTATAAACACACCCAGAGGTTGTAAAATCAGGTCAGTCACATTACTGACCTGTTTTATGGACATCACGACTTACGACCCCGATGGGCAGGCTCCATTATGGTTGGAAATCGAGGACTACTTATATACTCTTATCATCAGGAGAGCTACAGGTAGTCCTCGACTTACAACAGTTCACTTAGTGACCATTGAAGGTTACAACGGCACTGAAAAAAAGTGACTCAGGGCCATTGTTCATAATTATTCCCGTTGCTGCATCCCCAGGGTCCCGGGATTTATATTCAGACGGTGGACAACCGACTCACATTTATGACGGTCGCAGTGTCCTGGAGTCATGTGATCCCCTCTTGCGACCGACGAGCAAAGTCAATGGGGAAACCAGACTCATTTAACAACCGTGTTACTAATTTAAGAACGGCAGCAATTCCCTTAACGAATATGCTGAGAAATGTCGTAAAAGGGGGCAAAATTCACTTAACAACCTCCTCACAGAGTGTCGGGCCTGCAAACGATCTTTTCTTTTTTGGATTTCAGGCCTGCCACCCTTTCTACTGGGGGGAATTATACGGAGTTGGGTGGTATGTAGCCATAACAACATTCTTCTTAGAAATTCAAGGTCATCTTTGTCTCTGCACCGGACCGGAACTGGATGGGTGGAGCTGCCAGTGTGGCAGTGGGAGATTGGGTCATGGGATGGACTGGTGGGTGGGGGAGGAAAGATCTTGAACTTTCAGCTGGGTGGGGAAAACAGGGAAGCTTTCAGATTTGGGTTTCCCCAGATGTGCCGAGGTGAAATCTCTAATAAAGTGGAACTTTGAGGAAACTCAAGGCTGGGAATTTTATTTCGTTGGGGGTGTTTTTTGGAACCCTGACACATAGCCCCATAAATTTTGGGCTCAGTTGTGGTCGTAAAATTGAGGACTGCCTGTACTACGGAGAGCTGAAAAGTCCAAAATTCTTCTTCTAGTTACTACGGATTTACCTTGGCTGCACTGCGTGTTCTCTTTCTGCATTGGGAGAGGATGAGAGCTCAGGAAAATGGGCTTTGGGTGAAAATCAGCCTCTCGTCGTTGTTTCTTGAGCAGGGATGGGCAGCTGTGGCCCCTTTCAGGCCTGTGGACTTCAACTCCCAGAATTCCTGAGCCAGCTAGCCTCTCTTCTTGAGGGGGAGGGAGGGAGGGAGAGACCGCCAAGGACCTCACAGTTCTACTCCTCCTTTCCATGGCGCCCTGTCCCTTCTAGCACTGATGATGTTACCTAGGTGGGTCAGGAAACGCCTGCAAGAAAACCTCGAAGCTGAGCACTGAGGGCCCCATCATCGTTCTCCTCTTCCTCCTTCTCTCCATGCGTGACCCGTCAAAACCGCGGTCCACTAAAGCGCGCCCGATTAAAGCGCGTACCTGACGTCATCAGCAGCGCGACAAA